ATTAATTAATTAATTAGTTAACTTATAATATACTCCCGCTGGTCCTTAATACTCCTTTCGTCCCATAATTATTGTCCACTTTGCTCAAAAAATTTTATCCCAAAATTATTGTCCAATTTGACTTTTTATGAATCAAGTTACACATTTGTCCTTAGTAAAAAACATTATCCATAAAATCTTTGTGGTTAATAATTATTTATGTAGGGGTATATCCGATTGTTCAAGGTAAAATATAGTTAAGTTTGACCAAAAATAAAATCTTTCATTTTAGTAAAACTGGACAATAATTATGGGACGGAGGGAGTATAAGACATTTTGATTGCTCTAAATTTCACCTAGTATACATTTTTAATTGGTAAAAAAATCTTAAAAACATATTTTTCACATTCGTTTTATTCTCTTGGTGGTTATGAAATATTTTAAAACTTTTTTTTCGATTAAAAATACGTACTAAGTGAAACCACGAACAAACTAAAATACTTTATATTAAGGACCGGAGGGAGTATAGCACATGATAAACTACAGTAAGACAAGTAAAACATAACTATATCTTATTTTACAGAGCGTGGCTTTACAAGTTACCACAAAACTTGGACAAACCCGTGAACACAACAGAATAACTACTAAATCTGTGCATGATTTTAAACTTTGGATTTCACGGTTTACTGTATTTAACTTTGGTGTAATTCTGAACAATAAAAGCAAAATGATAATGCAAAAAATAAGTAGTAATAGGTGAGGAAAATCGAAAATGAATGTTTAAAAAATAAAAAGCCCAAAAAAATGAAAGCCCAGTCACTATTTACCATCCAAACGGTTTCAAAAATATTTTTCAATCAGTGGACCATATGTGGGACAGTGTGTATAAGCGCCTGGCCCAAATACAAGTTACTCATTAAGTGCATTGCATGTTCCCTTGATCATCATTTCTACTTCTCTAATTATATATTCTTCATCCATCAACTTCACTTTTAGAGTGCTTCTAAGAATGATTATTATGAATTATGATCATTGGCCTTTATAAGCATTAATTTTAGGGAAAATTCACAAGTCTCGGCAGTAAAGTCAGTAAACGCTTGCATTTTCAATTTTCAATGAAACATTTTTCGAATTTAGTTAGGAGGAAGTAAAGTATTCCTTATTTCTTTTGGTTGTGTTTTAGGTATTGTATGCGTATATTAAAGAGTTTACTCTTACGCCCCATTTTAAAAGGCTTATTTAGTCCTTTTTATATCTATACTTCATTCCTTCTAAAATAAAAGTCAGTTTCAGAAGATCAAAAGTTTGTCGATTTTCTTTTTCTTTCGAGAAAGAAAATTTATATTAAACTTGCTAGAAATCAATCATCCTTGAATGATTAAAAATTTGTCAATATAAGTATTTTATAATAGTTGAAGGAGCGTTAGTTACTCAATTTTTAATCTTACCTTTATTGCTGATCTCTTTTAATGTGTGTTTTACAAATATCTAATACACTTGATAAGGGTATAAAATGTGTATTTAACTAGACTGTAGTATATAATTAGTTGACTTTACCTCAAATTATAGAACAAACTGTCAGTCTACGGAGGACCAAAAATATAATTTTATTGTATTTATTATATATCCTATTTTTCTTTTCTAGCAACAAACTAGTAAGTTCCCAGTTCTTTGAAACATCAACTAAAACAAATAAATAAAAATAAATTGTCTGTATTAATTTCTTCAAAATCTCCAACCTAAAAGATGCCCAGTTTGTCTGTGTGTTTTGAATTTTTTAAATGAGTTGAACATGACAAGTCATTATGTGTGTGTTGGTTATATATAGACGTGTGTCCGCTACTTGTATCATCAGCTTACCAGAGTCGCCATCACAATTTCTGGTGCATTATAAGATCATCACAAATTAAATGGCAGGTCAATCATTGTAAATTGTTCAATAAATTCAAATTGTAACTATCTTGATGAATAAAACGTTTGGTTAAAATATTGTTAAAGGTTTTTGATAATGGTGGGAAGTGGGATTCGAACATTTGAGTTTAGTTAATAGTGATTATTCCTTACAAAAAAAAAATAAAAACAAATTAAAAAGGGGGAAATTTTGGGGGCGGGGGGACAGAAACTAACATTTAAATTAAAAATAATTTGTTTTAAATGTCTGCTTATTTAATTTGTTTTGAATGCAACAAACTTGGTGATTTGATGTATGCAATCACTAGTAAAGTTTTCCAATGATAAACTCATACGGAAAAAAGCCGCATATTAATTTTTTTTATTTAAAAAAGAAAGGAAAAAAAAAGGAAAAAACACTTACAGTTATTAGGCGGACTCGCAATTTTTTTAGAAGTTTGTTGGGTGTTCTCCGTTGCTGATTGTTTGATTGATTTTTCAGATGCATTAAATAAAAGTTTCATCTAGAACCATTGAACTCTCTGCAAAATCCAATTCTTAAGCTTAGAGATACATTTTTTTATTTTTTTTATTTTTTTTTTTCGCGTAAAGAGATAATCAAATTGCATCATCAAATTATTCCAAAAAGAAAAATTGCAAATTACTCTTAATGAAAAAAACGACCCAAAATGCAAAATAGAGGAACAGGAATGAAGAAGTCAATTTATTCCTGCATTTTAGTTGGTTAATTATCAGTTGTTGACTAAATACATATATCATGCATCTAGAGCTAATCCAAAGAGATAGATATTAAAACTTTCGCTTTCTTACATGCCATTAACCAACGTCCATCCTTGTCTAAGCCCACACAATCTTATCAATATCCGCCAAAAAGTATATTAAGGGATTAGGGAACTGACAAAGATCGATACACAATTTGATTATATCTATAGAAAGATCTTTTCTTTCTCTTTTTCTTTTTTTTCTCTGCAGCAAAGATCAATTTTGTAACTGATTATTTGACATGTTTTTGGTGTATATCTTCTTTGGAGAAGTAAAAATGACATATTTTACTTCAATTTTTCCATGATCTTAACGGGACAACATTATGAATAACCCGTCAAATAGGATATTACTTCAGTTATATTCTGTCTTAAAAAAAAAATCTACTATATATTCACTTTTGAAATTTGAATTTTTATATTAAATTTAGTACAAATCTCAAAATTTAATATGAACTATTTTCGTGAAACAGAAGTATATACGTTATATTTACGGGACAACATTAGGTTCGTACTTCCTTTCTTGTACAACATTTTTTAATGTACAGAAATTTGGAATGGCATGAGAGTAGTTCACTTTTCCAGATGCTCACACTGACAAGATACATGAACACAAAATCTTGGTCGATTATTATGTTTATGGTCCTTATAGAAGATTATTGGAAGTGAAAACGAATAACAGTTCGCAAAGAACATGCGGGAGGAAAGAAAAGTCAAAACTCCAAACCACTTTGAGAGGGGAATCTCTTAAAAAAATAAAATAAATAAATAAAAAATAGAGCAGATATATTGGCTCAATCAATGGAAGAAGATTTCTCAATTTTTCAAACATTTGAAAAAAGAATCTATGGGGATTATATCTGATTATCTATCGGAAGATGAGGTGTTGTCTCCCTCAATTGAATTATTAGTTAGTAGGGACTCAACTAATTTTCATTTCCATACATTTTTAAAGGAATAGTAACAATTTTTCTCATATATTACTCATGGTGTCTCACTTTAATAGTTTATTTTATTAAGTAACATGTTAATTAGTTAATATTGACTATAAAATAGAAAAATTATTGAGTACAACTGTTGTATCTTTGTTTTTAGTGTAACAAGTATTAGCACCTTCTATTTTGTTAACACTCCCGTTAAATTTATAACTTTTCTCTTAAAATTATTATTGTACTCTACTTATTGTGTCTGACTGCACAATACTACATGGTACAGCAACTGCATACAATATTTTCTCATTAAAATGGGACGAAAATAAGTATTACAATACAGCTGTTATATCCGAAGTATGATGATGATGATGATTTAAGAGGTAGCTTGCACAGAATAAAATAGAAGAATTCAAAGTTTTGTAAAAGCCTTTTTATAAAGTTGGTGGAGAGAATGATTAGGGAGTAAGCCCACTTTGGATACAAAATGGATTAAATTTGGCTTTAAAGCATTTTCCAGAAAGACAGCTAATAGAATCCCATTAAATAAACAAACTCTTGACATTAACAGACGATCAGATACTTTTTTTATTAAAAAAAAAAAAGAAAGAAAAAATTGTTTTTAACTTTTCTTACGAAAAAGGGCTTTAACACCATTTACTTACTTGATTGCAGCTTTGTACTGTTATTATATTTACTTCTCTGCTAGTAATAAACATTTTTTTTTGTTCGTTGCTTTTTCCGTTCTCTTTTTGGTGGAAGGCAGACAGATTTTTCAGCCATTTGTAAGGTCTCCCCCTTTTTTTATTTAATGCTTCTATTCTTTTTTTTTAATTTCCTTTTTTTGAGACACTCTGGGCTAATAGTGGTTTTAAATAGAAAAATATTATATATTAACAAAATACTCAGAAAATAGTTCACGCTGAATTTGAAATACTTTAAGGCTCAGTACTACTCTCTTCGGTCCTTATTATAAAACATTTTAATTTGTCTTAAGTTTTACCTAGGATACTTTTTTAATTAAAATAAAAATCTTAAAAATATTTTTTAATAATTAAGAGAACACAACGAATATGAAAATATATTTTTAAGGTTTTTTTAATTAAAAAAATCCTAGGTGAAACCTAAGATAAAATCAAAATGACTTATAATAAGGATCGGAGGGAGTATTTTTTAAGACAATCTTTAAAACTAAATGTGATTTATTTTTTGAGACATCGAAAATAATTTTACCTTATTGTACTAGTTGAATTCAACAAAGGAGATCATTATTTTCTGGAACATATGGAGTTGAGTTTAATGAAATCACACTACGAAATAACGAGACACCTCCACATGAGACTTTTCAAGATACACTGAATTTCAGGTTGCAATTCCTTGCTTTTTCTCACAAAATGAGGATAAAACAATAATTTTATTGTGAAAAGAAAAGAGAATATAAGTTTCATAAAATGATACACTAAAATAATGATAAACACGTCAAAATTATTAACTTATGACACGCATAATGAGAGCCGTTACGACAAACAGTAGAGCGTTAAATTTGCTATCATAATGGGCTTGTGGAATCCGAAAAAAGTACATTGATGAACACCGGGGAAGAAATAGACAGAACAAACGGTCACAGTTTGGGAAGTTGGAAGTGGTCACACAAAGACACAGTTTATGTCCGAAATTTACAAAACAGGCCACGCACACTGTTTCTAGATTTTTACCAAACACCGAAAACATTTTCTGCACAGTACTCTTTAACTCTGACTTCATCAAAACTCCAGATCCAGATGCCAATTGGGAACAACATTACAACAACATTTTAGGACAAACAAACATCCCTCTCAAGTCTCAACTTCTAGAGAATTTAATTGCAGGAAAATAAAGAAAATGTTAAAAAGTAATTGAAGAACACAAGGACAAAACAGAACAGAAAAAAAAACAGAGCAGAAACAGAACAGCATTTATCATCATCCCACTAGAAAACTGAAAAAGAACAAGGGAATGTACAAGTTTTTTCCTTTTTTTTTTTTCTTTGTTTTGTTTTACAGATAAGAAAGTATTTGAAGCTGTCCACATTTCACACTTTCAAAATCCTCCCCTTTTGGTAACATATTGTTTTTCCATCGTCTTTCCAGCCGGACCCAACTTGCTTCACCAGATATTTTAGACCAATATTACAACCTCAAAACTTTTAAAGCTTGAAAAAAAAAACCAACAAATATGAATAATAACAAAAATCCCAACTCATTATCCATCCAATATGCTACTATCAACCAAAAGTAAAAGAACGAACATTAAATCTGTATGAATGAACAAAAAAAGAACCCTTTTCACTGTGCCATTGTGTGAAGTCTCCTTCTTCTTAGTTCTTTCCCTCATTCAGACTTGACCTTGGACCTGTAAAGAAGCTTCTTCTTCTTGGAAGTTTGATTATCAAATGTGAGCACAATCTTGCCTGGTTCACCGATTTTGTAGCTTCCACTGATTATTGGCTCATCAGTTGGTGTAATCTTCCTAGACTTCTGCACTATCACAGTGTAACCACCTTCAGCACTAGGAACGAATTCAGCACCGTATGAGACCTCCCCGCCAATAACTCTTGCCTCCCAAACCAAAGTACCCTGCAAAATTGACCAATTACAAATGAAATCAACAAAATAAGAACTAAGGTAAAGATTCAATTGTCAAAAAAACATGGATAGAACAATGATGATTGATTACCTCAGTTACTGGGAATTCAACAACTTGTTTGGATGATGGCTTGATGGTTTCCTCGGTGACAGGTTCAGAAACAGTGAATTCACCCTCATCCCTGCTCAAACCACCATATTGTACTGGTACTTGTTCAGGTGCAATATACCTATTGTTTCAAACATCAACAGTTAATACCAGTGATTCCAAAGACGAGAATTCAAATGTACATGGTCAAGGACACTCATTAAAGAGAGAAAGAAAGATACTAAAGAGCAACTAGAAAAAAGACATACTTGAACAGTGTCTCGGCAGTTTTGGAAGGTCCAACAAAGACAAACTTGCTCTTGGTTCTCTGAGTCAGGAAGGGACTGATTACCCTGTTGTAGGCCACATACCACCATGGCACATTGATGAACACCTTCAAACACACAAAACAACATCCCATATGACAAATCAATTACACATGTAATATTACTCAACAACCAAAATGATTCAAATTTACCTCAACATCAATTTCAATAATTGAATCAGATAACACATCATGTGAAAACCAGAACATGTAACATCAATAAGCAAATCCTTCATCCTGAAGAAAAAAAAATGGTCCAAAACAATGATAATCACCTGTTTGGCAACGAATTCCGGATAATTGTCCTGCAATAACTGAAGGGCTTGATTGGTAGCCTGGCGGAAGTCCTTCTTGAACAAGAACAGCCCAGGAGAATTCTGGAAATCATTGACTTGTACGATGGTATTGACACCATCAGGGGTGAAATCAAGCTTCCTGATGCTGTTCTCCAAGAACTGAATCCTCCACCTAAGGAATTTCGACCTCTTTTCGGCATCAGCAAAAGCAATTTGATAAACTTCCTTGTCCTGAAACTCGCCATAAGCATTATAGCAAACCGGATGTCCTTCCTTATCAACACCGTGCATGTAAACAACCTTCTCTAACCCGCTACCGATTCCTTCTTCCTCCACCAATTCATCGATTCCAAATTCTTTCCTCCAAGCAACAACGCTCTTAAGCATGGCGAAAGCATCCTTCACCTTGAAATCTCTTGCTCTGAGGAACTTGAGGAGGATGACATCACTCCTCTCGTCAGCTAGGAGTGGAATTCCCCAAAGAGAAACTTCCTCTGGCTCCTTTGGTGGTTCCTCAACAGCGACTTCCTCCTTTGGTGTCTCCTCAGCCGCCGGCTCAGTGGCAGGGGCGGCGGTGGTTTCTTCAACTATGGTCTCTTTGATTTCTTCGGCGGCGGTCTCAACCTTCTCCTCGACCTTAGTTGTGGGCTCAGATGATTCAGCGGTCTCTGTTGTTGGAGGGATGACTTCCTTCTTTTCCTCCACCGGTTCGGACGGTTCTTCAGCCTTAGGTGGCTCCTCCGCCGCCGGTAGTGGTGGGGTAGCCTCGGCTTCCTTTTTCTCCTCCTCAGGCTTGGTCTCTTCGGCGGCAGCTTCCGTTTTGGTTTCCTCGACGGCGGCGGCGGGTTCGGGTTTGGTTTCTTCGGCGGTGGACTCTGTTTTGGGTTCTTCTGTGGCGGCAGCTTCGGTTTTGGGTTCTTCCGGCTCGGGTTTCTTCTCCTCCTCCTTCACAGGCGGCGGCGGCGGCGGAGCAGTGAATTCATGCTTGGCCAGAGCTTCGCGAACCAGCTGTTTCAACTCATCGATGGCCTTCTTTTGTGGGTCCGGGAGTTCCTCAACAACGTTGGTCTCCTCCTTAAACGAAGCAGATTCAGTAATCTTCTCCTCGTCGGCGGTTTTCTCCGCCTCCTCAGCAGCCGGAGCCGCCTCGGTAGCAGCTGGCTCCTCCGCCGGCTTCTCCGCTTCTGGAACCGGAACCGGCTCCGGCTCCGGTGTAGCAGAAGTCACGGTAGCCTCTTTCTCAACAACGGCCGTTTCAGCAACATCGGAAACCACCACCTCCGCAGCCGGAGCCGGCGTCTCAGAAGCTGTGGTTTTCGTTTCTTCCGCCATCAATAATCGAATTGTTTAAAGTTTGAACCCTTTTTCAGCAAGAATTAAGCAAAAAGAACAAAATTCAGGGTGAAAAATAGAATTTTAAAAGGGAAGAAGAAGAAGAAATGGACGGAATTAGGATTTTCAGAGAGAGATTATATGGAAGATTGAGAAGATTGAAGAGAGCTTTAATATACGTGAAGAAAATGGAGTGAGTGGGTATTTGAACTGTGTGAGTGTGTGAGAGAGAGAGAAATTTGGAAAGGAGAGCAGACTGTCAAGGAGTCTGTCAAGGAGAGGGGGGATGGTGGGGTCCGTCTTAGGATTGCCAGCTCGTTACCACTCTTGTCGTGGGGTCCGTGCCACTAAGCACACACAACACAAACCCCGTGGACCCCATCCCTTTGGTTTTGCCCTTTTCTTGCCTTTTTAATCTAACCGCTGATTTAGCTATAATTCATTCCCTTATTTTTCTTTCGAAAAAAATCAGTTACATATTTGATCCTTTGTCTGAAACTCTGAAGCCTGAACTTTTTCTTATCACTGCTGTCTTTCTTTTCCCCTATTTTACCAGAGCTAATTTTATGAAAATTATTGTGATCATCGTTCTAAAAATACAATTCAACTTAGTAATTATTTTAAAAGTACTTATATAGTTAATAACTAACTTCAACCAAATTTCTTCTTTTTTTTTCCTAATATCGACTTAAGAAAATCGTGCTTGATCTTAATGAAGTCATGATAAATCTAGGAACGGTGGAAGATTATTTATTTTATGAAGTCATAACATTTGATTGACCCATATATTTGGGCTTTTAAATTTTGATGGGCAAATTCTTCCCAATAAATATTTTTTAAAAAAAGGACTAGTAAATAATTTCAATATTATCGATTTAATCCAAGCTGGTAAAAATATTTTATCCGCCAAATTCTTTTTTTCGTGCCAATTTTTTCTCTCTTCTTTTTTTTTTTTTTTTTACATTAGATTGAACTGTTAATAAATGAAACACAAATTTGAAAAGAAAAAAGAGAGAGAGAGAGGGGCAAAAGAATCAATAAACAGAATTCTGAGGTTATTTGATCATGTCATCGAACTTACCAATAATAAACAAGTCCTAATGATGAGAAGAGACGTCATTGCTTATAAATAGAAACCACAAACAAATGCACGAAACTTTTCCATCTAAACTAAAACAAAGAAGAGCTTCTTATTAAAAGTAAAATTCGCTTTCTTTTATGAAATATTTGATTTGATTTGATTGAATGTCTATAATTAACATGTATTATTCTATTCACAATCAAGAATATATGATTCTGTAATATTTAACATTAATGATAGGTTATTCATTTCTCACAATTTGATCCCCTACTTCTTGTATAAATAGTGAGCTCATTCATGTTTTAAAATACATCTGAATACAAGTTTTTTATCTCTCTTTACTCTTTTATCTCTCCTCTTTGTTCTTATACTTAGTTTCATATTATTAGTCTAATATTAATTTTATAACACTTTCATATTTATAATGTGAATGTATAGTTACTTTTTCTTTTGATGCAAGTAAATACATTTCTCATGCGAAATTTTCACTTATTAATGGAAACCGGAAACGACCGCTACTCCCTGACCTGATTTTTTGCTTTCTTCTTAAGAGACAAATAAAAGGTCCATATGACATGGAGAAATATAATTTTATACTCTCTTTATTGTAGAGAAATAATTCAATTTCAGAAATAAAATCTTAAAATTGATATTACTCTTCTGTTCTAAGAAAATAGTTCATATTAAATTTGAAATTTGTACTAAAAACCGTACAAATCTTAAAACTCAATGTGGACTTCTTTTTTGGAACATAATTTACTAAGGTAGTATTTATTTATAAATTAACATGATAATATTTTCATATTGATTTTTCAATTTAAAAGACGAACTCATACAATTTATAGATTTTGTTTTTTGTAAATTGGATAAAAAAAAAATTTCCTGGTATGAGTGGAGTATTTTAATTGTGTAAATTTCTACGATATTTTGTGCATGTATATGATGGTATAGATGTGTCTCATTTCATTATCACACACGTACGTGCGAAATGTAATTGGAAAAGTTTGACAAGCAAACTGAGGCATCGAAAATTTACTTATTTTTTATTAATTTGGGTACTTATCAGTGAAAGATAAGGTTAGGTAAGCAAAGATTTGTTTAATTTAACCATTTTATTGCTTTTTTTTTTTTTTCTAACTCCCAAAACCATGGGCAAGAGAGCAGCACTTTTGTAGAATTTATCAAAACTCAAAAGTCTTAGTATGATTTCTAAAACTTCATTTTTCTTTTTTCTTTTTTTTTTGGGGGAGTGGCGCATCGCGGATAAATTTCTTTTACCTTGTACAAATCATATGATTAAATTATAAAAGAAATGTCGTAATTGAAGAAATTTTTTGTAATTATTTAAACAAATATGACATACAATATATATAAACATGGTTTTTGTAAATCGTGTCCTTTAATGATTGTATTTTTTTTTTTATTGTATTGTTTAGTTCAACCCAAAAAAAGTGTCTTAATTTAGTATCAAATGTATGCTTTTATGAAGTCTTTATTGTATTTACATTAGGCTCAGTAAATAAGAAACGAATCGAACGAATTAATAAGGTTATAAATCACCTGGTAGTTCGTTTGACATTTTTCTTTTTCAAATTACAAAAGGAATGTTTATTTTAACTGACTCGAAGTGTTTTTTTTTTTTTTGCTTTATGCCTAAGCCAACAATTGGAGGGAACATGTTGGCGCCAAAGCCTGAGGCGGTTGGAAGAAAAAATAAAAACAACTCATACATTCTTTCCATACACTGACATATTTGACCGAAGGTATCTTCCAAATTAATTTTCAAATTAGAATAATGCTAGTAAATTAAAAAATTGAAAATAACAGGCTGTCAAATTATGAGAGATTTCTTGCCAGATTAAAACAAAAAAAAAAAAAGAAAAGAAAAAATCTGCTGTCATCTACACATTCTTTGCTATTAAGCCGGCTAATTAATTTAAATTTTGCAGCCGTTTGCCCAAGTTAATAATTGCGACTAAAAAGTAACATTCTTAATTTGGCAAAGAAAATAAAATTTATTAGATTCCAATTTAAGAAAACGACAGCCAATTTCTAGAGTCTTCTTGAGATGATTTCAAATGATCATGAATATTTTTAGTTTCATAATTGAAGAATTCAAAGACAGCATAAGGTGCTTTTTTTATATTGCAATTCAAGTATTTTTCCTTCAAGATAAAAGTTTTATTTGCTGAGCTGAACTGATTTAACGTAATCAAGTGGATTACTGTGTTGAGTATTTCACATCGGTAGTGAGAGAGAGTTGATATCAATATATAAGTTTATGAGTTATTCTCCTTATTGCCACTTAATTTTGAGGTGGAATCCCATGGATTTCTATATGATATCAGAGTCAGCCCGCCAAAAGTTGGAGTTTAAAGCCTGATGTGATAGAACTAATAAGGCTGAGACGTGAACCGGTGACTGGACTGACAAGCCCAACCCAAGAAGAGACGTTGGGCTTGCGGGGGAGTGTTGAGTATCCCACATCGGTGGTAGGAGAGAGTTGATATTAATATATAAGTTTATGGGCTACTCCTTTCATTGACAATTGATTTTGAGGTGGAATCCCATGAAGTTTTATATACTGTGTTGTTTGATACTGTATTCCAATACACCCTTTTTTTGGCTTTAAAATTTTCATTTTTTCCGGTTGTTCCATAAACATCAGATTGTAGTAATTCCCCATGGTCAGGTATATATATCTGCATGTCTTTAACATTTTAAATTACTAAACAAAAACAGTAACTACAAATTCAACAGCTTTCCAGCACCAATCACAATTATCTCAGCATGTGTTGCAAACTTGCAATCTGATATAGGTTAATCAAAAAAAAAAGAATTAAGGAAAATCTCATTACAAAAAGTACCTTTACATATGCATTAATTTAATTCACAAATATTACATCAAGGTCCATATATAAGGCACAAATTAAAATCACATTATACGTAACCATACCCCAAAATGACCTAACGTTTATAAAAATGTGATAATTATAACTTAACCCAAAAAAAAGAAAAAAATCGTATCAACATAATTGTAAAAGTCTTTGCACTAATGATAATCTTTTAACATTGGACAAAGCCAACACATGATGAACACTAAATCAACCCACACGAGTATCATCACGCATGTGTCCGAAGGTAGTATATGTACCAACATCATCATTTTGTACTTTTTATCTTTCTGTAATGGTAATTAATTTTTATATTTTTTCTTGTCAATAATCATTTGTATATTCATCACTTTGAGCACGACCAATGAATTGAGTCCTACATTATATCCCCGGTACCTCATACTTTTTTTTTTTTATTAGCTGGTTTTCTTTCAAAAAAAGATTAATTAATTGTAAATACAGAAAACCAACATATATACTCGTTCATACTAGACAAATTTTCATATTTCAGAAAATTATTTATCCAAAATTAATTAGGTATATTTGTTGCTATATTATATCATGTCTAATACAATTTAAATATCGTGTCTACTCCATAATGAAAAGAGTAAAGGCAGAAGTGGAAAAAAAATTATTATAAATCGATAGATTATTCAAAATTTTGCGTGTTTATTTTTTCGGAAATTATAAGAGTTTAATTAATCAAAATAAACATGAATTTGATTTTAAGACAGTAAATAACACAACATCAAAACTATGTCTAATCTCCTGAGCAATTAAAAAACTTAATCTTATCATAGTTATGAGGATACACATCAATATAGCTTATCAAAGTCGTTATCATACCCCAAATTATACTTTTAATCAGTTAATAATAATACCAAGAAATAAGGATAATTGTAAACTATTTAAAATTATGTGTGCATATGCAATCCTAAAGTTGTGATGAACTGTTTGATGAGATAACATAAGATGATTTGATTTGATCATCGGAGTTGTCCGCACCATTACAATGGTGTGGCCGTGTGGACCATATCATGGCCCTCTCTAAAAGCTACTATCCGAAAGCTGTTGACTGGGTTTTCTTTGCTGTCTCTTTAGGATTTTATTTTTATTTTTTGTACATTTAATAGTAATTTTTTCCTTTGCTTTTTTGCTTTTCCAATAATACTGTATGTGATTTGGAAAGTTTATCTTTGGTTTTTGAGTTTAATATACATAACGGCTTAATTTGTAGTACAAGCAGCCACCAATTTACATAAAGGGTCCAGCTTGTCGGGATCCGTTGGACAAAGTTTCCTTCATGTCAAAATTTTCTCAGATTGATTTCAGAAATCTGATTATATAGTACGTAGAAAAAGAAGTAATTTTCTATTATTAAGTTTCCTTATGATACTAAAATTAACATTCTCAAAAAAAAAAAAAAAAAATTCCTTATGATACTGCAGGTTTGGAATTGGCATATCGTA